TGTGGTTGAAAATGAAGGAAAAGTTATTGATGTGATGGAAAATATTATTTTATTGATGAATGTGTGGTTGAAAATTAGTAGAAGAATGAGAATGAAAAAAAGAATGGTTACCAAACGGTGCCTAAATCTTTCTTTCTCATAATTAACTTGATTGTCAGTATGCAAATTGCTAGCGGAACACTCCTTGATATGACGACTTTTGCATTTTAACAAGAGTCAGACTGCGTGTAAATGACATGTGTGTGACAATAGGCGCTGAGGTGGCTAGAAATATGTTGATTGTGTCTTTCATATTAAGTGTGTGTTTGACACCCATTTTAATGGGTTGAAAATTTTTGGAATAATGATTGATGGGAGAATGTGTGGTGGAAAAGTGATGAAAATTTTTAAATTTGTGTGTAATATTATTTTATTTGGAGAATGTGTGGTTGAAACGAAGAAAGAGAAAAAAAAATGAGAAAAAGAATGAGTGCCAAACAGGAGCTTAATGTCACCAAATATTATCAAACATTTTCATCTCTCTCTCTCTCTCTCTCTCTCTCTCTCTCTCGTTTATCAACATATGTAAATGATCTTGAAAACGAACATGCATCATGCACAGATTTTATCAACATATTTAAAGTCACAAAGTTATATTAAATACCCTTATTTGCAATTTATAAAAGTACACTTAAATTGCAGTATAATAATTCAAGAATATTCTTTCATATCAAAAGCTATCATCAATAACTTTCTTCAAATTAAGTGAAAAAACAATCTTTCACTAAAGCATGTATCTTTAAGTCATTTCATATCATTAATACACAATGTAATAAGCATTTACATAGATTAACTGTGCACAAAACTTCAATATAGATATGCACAATGGTTTGCTTGTCCACAAAACAATATGAAATGAATTCAAACATAAATGAAAGATTCCATGTTATAGAATCACTATCTATTATATGCATTTAATCACTACAATACACAAATTCATTACCCATGAACATAATTATAATTTTAACGTCTCATTCAACAAATTAATGAAACATAAATTTTCCTAATTCAAATGTTGCAATAGAACATTTTTACCATATTCATGAATCATGATACATTAAAAGTATGATTTAAATTTATTCATGCAATATCATGATCTTTATTTCAAATGTTATTTAATATGCACACAAGATCATCATCAACATATTTTCTTCATTTGATTTCATGTATGCTTTATAATACATAGATTCGAATACATGACTCTATGTACATACCTCAACTTCAACAGAATATTTTTATGCAAAATAAACAAAAATCCATCTTAAGAATGTTGGAGATATCATACCGATAATGTGCATATTATATTCATATCAATACGTACCATTTATACTCGTGAAATCGAAATTAGATTCGACTTACCGAAATATATCACTTGCGATTGTTGGGAAAATCATCCCCATTCCACACAATGGGTTGGACTGTTGGAGAAGAAATCAAATAATACAATCACTTCCACGTGAATGAGTTGGAGAAAAACCAGAAAACAAGTGATCAAACACTTCAAAGAAGAATCAATAAGGCTCGAATACAGTGTTGTTGTCCTCAAACGATATTTGCCCCTTCTCGATGAATTTGGTGCTTAAAGGGTTTCTCGACAAATTGTTTGCAGAATTTAAATAAGCCTTGTAATAGAGAAATACTTAAAACACTTGTGTTTTCTACCAAAATTTAAGAACAAAGGAAATTTTTAATATAAAAGAAAAATCTAAATTCTTTGATTTGGAATGAGGATTTTATCTCAATATTGGTTTCAATAATGTTCCAATTATTACTTGTGTTAATTATGAGACATCTATATATAAGTCTCAACCAACACATACGAAATGGTGCCAAAAAATTTGTGAAAAGTTCTCAACTTTTCATAAAAAACCACAAAAATATTCAAACATAAATTCTGTCCAACGGCTCTTTTTCTTTCAATGCGATCGCATAGAACAATTCCTTGTAGTCGCATAGAAGAAACAAATGTCGGGGCTGGAATCCCTGCACGGGTGATGCGACCGCAAGCCCTTTGATCTATGCGGTCGCATAGATCAAAGTTCTGGCTACCAATTTCACTTTTTTCATTCCAATTACAAGTTTATTAATTTTGAAAAACAATTACAACAAAAAATATACAAAAAAGAAAACGGAAAAAGGAATAAACAAACAAAATGAGGAAAAACAAATCTTGCAAACAAGAGATACATAATAATAAGCAGTGGCAAAATGAATCCACACATAAAATATGAAAAAGGCAGCATTCCTTCTTCCCAATCTGCACAAGTTATTTATTAAGCTCTTATCATTTCTACGTATGCTACATACACTTGTGACCTGTTCCATAATAATGTAGAAATTAAGCTAAAATCTTCATTTATTTTGGGTGCTTGCTTTGACGTTCATTATCCCGTACATACCTCCCTCCTTCAGATATTCCACATACCTTGAGAATTCCGGCTTTGCAGTTGCCTTCTTTCTTCGCCGGCCGGATTCTACAAAAATACTGAAAAACGGATGAATTTTGCTGACCTTTTTAGCCTGCTCCGCCGATGCAGGAGTCAAGTTTTTCGGCGATGCATTGAAAATCTTAGCCGGCAAGGTTCTGGATTTGCTCAATTTAGGCACCAAAGGATCGGTAGGGGGCTCCGTCTCATCGGTTAATTGCTCGTAGCCCTGGCGGCCTTTTCGTGTACTCAGAGCCCTAAACATGGCGAGTAGAGATTGGAATTTTAGTCAATATCTGTGGTTCGTTTGTAGTTGCAGTGCTTGGAAGAATTTCTAAGGTCATGAAAGCTATATATTTATTATGAGTCCTAAAGTCAAAAAAGCTGTGATCAGGTTGGATTGAATGAAATGAGAATAGTCGTGTTGTATATACATTTCTAAAATTTATTCAATACACAATGATCAAATTATTATTTAGGGTCTGTTTGCCCTATTTTTTAGGTAAATACATTTTGAAATAGTAGATTGATGAAAAATGTGTGGTTAAAAATAAACTCCTGTTTGAGGTGGAAAATGCACTTTTTGACCATATTTTTTCAAGAATAATGCTATTTGCGACTGCTCACTGCAACAGTTGTCATATGTGGCACACACATGTCAAGTGTGTATTTAATGCATTAATGTGGTAAAAAAACAACAACATTAAAGCATCAAATAACTACATGCCATGTGTGTGCCATATAGGGCGACTGCTGCAGTGAGCGACTATGAATATCATTACTCTTTTTTCAAAGAAGTGGATCCCACTGTGAGACAAAATTGTCAAAAAAAGCGACAGATCCCTGTTGCAACAGTAAGAATTGGCATTATAATGCGAAACAAACAAGGGTTAAATGAGAAGTCTTTGAATTGCGTGTAATATTATTTTATTGAAAAATGCATGATTGAAAAGAAAAAAGAGAAATATATTTTTTAAAAATAAGGACCAAACAATGTCTTATTAAACACACAATTCAAAACACGTGACTTGGTTGGCTTCAAACTTTACAATTTAATCCACATAGCTTGGTGCTGCGTCAATGAAAGCAGTGTTAAATTGAAATTTTGTTAGTTGACTTTTTAGTGCAAAATCCAATTTTTCATCATTGTGAGAGGTTGCGTATCAAATAAATTGGCATTATTATAATAAAAATAATAATTGAAAGCCGTGAATAGGATTAAATGCGACATTTTAAAACTAGGTTTACAAGTTGCAAATATTTTAAAAATTAGGATAAAATTCATAAATATTTCGTGTGTCAAGATTATTATTACAAATCATAAATTACTATTAAACGAGTACAGACATTGCAGGTACTTCTCACTAATAATAAGCTATTCAAATAACTCGAAATTTTATGTAGGAAAATGTCACCGCAACAGAAAATCTGGACAGATTCTTTGATAGAAGACAACGTGACAGAATGTAATTGAATGGAAAAATTGATTGTATTTTAAATAATCTAATGATAAAATGTTATGTAACATTATGTCAACCATTATGTCACCGTACTATTATTCATGTTGTGTGTTGATGAAACACAAGAGAATGGACGTGGAGCATGTCTTTCAATAGTAATAAGTTAATATATCATTGTACAAAAATTGGTTAATCAACAAAAAAATTGAAATATTCATTTACAAAAAAAAAAAACATTGATTTTAATAAAATAAAATGACAAGGGTATGCATCATGTAGCATGTAAAGGCAACTTGGTAATACAACTACTAACCAATCTCTTAAATTACAACAACTAATTTCTTGTGTTCAATCGGTCAATGGTCAATGGTGGAGGCTGATGACTCATATTTGAAACATTCAAGAAATCATTTTTTTTTTAATTAATTTCTTGATCACGCGAAACCAAAGTCAAGTCAGGAAAAGGGTTTCATTAAATTAATCAATGAGATAATGCGACTATAAAAAATAATATTAATTAACACAAGAAACTTCTCAATCAAATTAAACTTATCGAATATCAATATTCATGATAGTATGTTTATGTTGAATAAAAATTGAATTTGAGTGATGACTTTAAATCAAAAATCAAAATTATCAACCTTACTAAAAATTTAACAAAATAATGACAAGGAAATGAGTAATAAACACAAAAGAAAAAAAGAATGTCAAATTAATATCAAGATGAATGAATGCAATGTCGATGCAAGAGTTCAACTATTTGTCATTAAATCGAATTTGCTCTGCAATGGTGCATACTGATGATGGTAATCATATCTCAAGATACAATGAAAATCTTCTTGTGCTAGTAGCACTCCAAAACACGAGAATCAACAAACCAAAATTAGGTTATTATACCCATTTTAAATGAAATGGAAAAAAGACTTTTATGCAAAGTTTTGACTAAAAAAATATGAAATTTTATGTTATGCTATGATTGCATATCATTGGGATGATCAAATGGATATCCCGATGGTCTTATTTATAGATGAGGAAAAATTGTGAGGGAAGTATCGCGCCCAAAAATTCAGCAATATTTGCCAAGGTTCGCAGCTTTTGCTGTCGCTCGAGTGTCAGAAACAGAGACTCTGTCGTTAATATATCGCTTGAGCGACAGCCTCTCCACTCGAGCGCTAGGCAAGCGACTGAGTTACATAAATAACCAATCAGTTTCTTCTCTTTTTCCTTTCAACTTTAGATCGTAATTTCTCATTCACCTGGAATTGGTTTGGAGATTTCAAATATACCACAACGATCTACTCGACGAGTAGAATAAGTTAATCTATTTATTTTCATAATCTGACTATCGGATAAAATCCAAATATTTAGTCGAAATTGACACGAAAGTCACTTTTCCTTATATATACTTAACCAACTTTGAAAGAATAAACTGCCTTCAAGACAGTAGATATCAACGGTATAGTCGTTATCCTTTCGAGAACCATTCAATTGTTCATAAAAGAAGTCGAACCTAGACAAAAATTTGCCAAGTCGAACCTTGACTCAAAAAATTTTGCCGCTCGAGTCTCAAGATATTAGCCTCACAGTGGCAGATCAACATGGTGTCGTGTGAGGTCCATGGATCCCATAGGATTTCTGATTTTTTTTTCATTTTTTTGTTTTCACTTTTCTTCAAGAAATGTGCACGACTTTTTCTTAGGAAGTCCAAATTCAAAATCAACAGTTGATTTATTTCCTCCCAAATATATAAGTTTCGTCAATTCCATTTAAATCTAACGTCTGGTCACTACTCAACTCGACGACGTCACCGTCGACCACAAATATTTAACTACCAGATCACCTCTATTCTCATCCCAAGTCTCAACCCACAATGAAAAATATCCGACTCTGCCCTTATGTGATTAGGAAAGTTAGACGACGCAAATTATCGTATACAACATAAACAAAGTAACTACATAACTAAATAAATAGAACATGCTAGAGAAATAAATGCCTGCCCTCTATTTTTACATTATTTTCATTAAAAATCTTCTAAATAGTTAATATGGATTTCACGGCATAAAGAAAAGTTAACAGTATACAGTCACTTGAATAACGTTTTCACCGGCTTATTTTCAAAACAACCTTTAAACCTTAGGTTGTTTTCCATTTTTCACAGAATAGCAATGCATAGTTTTTAAGCACAAGAAAATTACAAATGGAATGTGTAAATTGGTTCTGATTGAGCCTTTTTACCAAATCTACATGCTTGAAAAGACTTGAAGTGAATCAATGCCTCAAGCCATCCACAATGTAGGCAGCATACAGTTCCCTGCAATCACAGCCATATAAACATGCAACAAATTAACACAAGGAAAATTGCTCAAGAGTAGCCTACAAATCTATGATATTTCTATATCTAAGAATTTCGGGTGACTGACTCACATGGAGTACTTGATAGCATCGATTGCTGCTTCAGGAGGCAGAAAGTCTTCCACAACAACCGTCTTGTTCTCGTTCTTTTGGTCTATTCAGAATAAGTAAAGGATGTAGAACAAACACAAACAGAATACGTACATGGGATATATTGTAGCCGGATCCAGATAATATCCAAAGGCTGAACATGTCAGAGGAATTTGTTTTAAGGACGAAGTTGGAGAGAAAATGAAAGTGTTACTTTTCAAAATGATGTAATAGCCTTCTGTTCAATGATATTACAAGTATACCCACAACTTCATCTTCTTCCTTCCTCCACCCACCTCCCCACCTCCGTCTCCCACTCTCCTCCCTCTCCCTCGTATTCCCATTCTCCTACCCCTCTTTAGTAATTTATGTTCTTACTTGGGACCATAGGAACTCTCCTAGTTCCTACTTGATAGAAACCAACTAGGGAGAGTCCTGAGTTCCTTAGTGAAACTAAAAAGAGGGGAGGTAATGATGGAGGCAGGAGGGGCAGTAGTGCAGGGGAGGCGGTGCAATGCAGTTGGAGAAGGTGAAGGGGGTAGGGGTCAAGGGCGGGGTGGATGTTGTAGAATAGCAAATTTTTTTGTGTAGAAGAAGGCCAAATTTAATAAAAATGACTTTTAGTGCAAAAGAAGGCTTAAGATGAAAGTAGTCACATTTGACCTTCACCATTGAAGGTCCTTCAAAAAAATTGCCAGTATGTAACTACTCTTGCAAAGACTGCATATTAGTTTTTGGAGGCCACAGGGCCTAACGGTGTGAGGGCTCTGATGATATTCTCATTCTCGATGCGAAGCCCTCTGATTCTGTGATTTCTCAAGGGACATCTTAGCTTATGCCTTTTAAGACCTTCCTTACCTAATGTAATCTGAACTCCGAATTTGTTTTCAACAAATTCATAGTTTTCAAACAGGAGCATAAATCGGCAATTAGAAGTAATGCATGTTCATGGATACAGTCCTCAAAAAAGCGACGAATTTCAGCGAGGCGGTGTGGTGGAAGTTCCTTGATGTCCTTGTAATGCCGAAACTCGGGGTCATCAGCACATACTGCAATTATTTTGTCATCCCTTTCACCCTATAGAAAAACTCACTTGAACAATTAGTTTTATAAACTAAATGACATCTGTTGGTATTTCACATGGAAGAATATCCTAGGAAATTCTGAAGGTCTACTACTGATTTTAAAGTATTAGGTATAAGAAACATAGAAAAGCCAGTGATCTTGCTATCTCTCCGGCTGAAAAATTAGCGTTATCCTCTAAAATTCTCTTCAAAAGGTATTATTAGTTAAAGTAGTATTGAGAATAGAGTCCTTGAATTTTGTGTATAAGGTGGTATCGGGACTGAAACACACTTCATTT